ACTGTGATAAAGACATGAAGAGACAACTAGGAACTTGAAATGCATTAGACAGAGGAATTCTAACAGACTATGGGATCTATTAAAGCTCTTGGATAAACCTCATTAAGCCTAATTTTCCTCATCTCCATCTTTTTAATAATATTATCTCAAACTAAGAGAACATGAGCTTTTCTGGCAGATGCTAGATCACAGAAAGACACCTGTACTCATGGAATTTTAGAAAAAAGAAGAATCTCAGCACTAGAAAAACCTACTTTCATTGGCAACTCCCTCTCAGTAGTGAATTCCAGTGAGTACAACTGGAACACAACTTGTTAAAAGGGAACAACAATAACCAAAAATCTGGGAAAATGCAGAACAACTTTCAACTCCAGTTTCATATTCTGCACTAAACAGAAAAAAGCTCACAGAACTGAAAGATTTGAAAGCAATTCTACTGATGTCATCAGAATACTGCTTAATGGAAGAGTGGTCTCCTCAGCAGATCAATGTCACCAGCATCTACAATTATGCTGTAACCATACAACACCCATTACACCTACCCATAAAGCCAGGTTAGTCTCTGAAAGCTTCACTACAAATGGAAAGAAAATTAGGCTTAAAAAAGAAAAAAAAAAAAAGGAAAAGCCCTTTTGATTCCATCTAAACCATGTCTAAGCCCAGCTACAAACAATACAATCATATGAGTGGATGCTACTGACCTCTCAAACCCTAAACCAAAAAACCAACAACTCCATCATATTCATGTGTATCTCAGATTAGAGCTGTGTGCTCAGTTATTATCTAATCAATCCACTTGCCTTCTAAAGAAATCCTACTTCCCTGGAAGAAGCTGTTGGATAAATGGCACCATTTCAGAAGCAAAGCTGGAAGCTGTACATCTGCCCACTAACTAGGGAAAAGTCACAGGCTGTGGGAAATCAGTAGAAACAAGGTTACCAGGGACACACAGCCATGGGCAAACTTTTATTCCTTTAAACTACAATAGCTACATTGACACTGAATTGCAGGATTTTTTCTTTTAGCACTTCTACATATGTTTTCAAAACAGCTCAGGAGTATGTAATAATTACTAAGTTACAAGGGGGGAAATGTTTTACTATAGTTAAAGAATAAGATTAGCAAAATTCAGAAAAAATGTTTTAATCTGTAAAATAAAAATCTTGCCTTCAAGTCTCTTATTTACTAAGAAACTGCTACATTTGACAGCCTCTGAACTTGGACTAAAACTAAGAATCCTTCCACCGGATGTTACAAAATCCACACTATATCAATACTAAATTCTAGCACAGGCATACCCTGTGTTTTCTTTAACAGTACTACCACAAACGAAGCTAAACCAAAGCCAATAAAGTATTTAATAATTACAATCCCTCCCAATATTCTGCTGTTGCATTTTCCAAGCCTGTAATGTTTTTGAGTACTTACGAAAGGATTCGGTCGAGTTTTGGTCCATGACGCCCCTGAAGGGCAGTAGGGGGCTTGTACACCCTCATCATTCCTTACGATCTGTACAGCTCCTCTGTTCCTGGAGCTCTTTATTTATGAAGCAGTGACCATTTTGAAGTTATTTATAAACATTAACTCATTAAATTCCCAAGTGTCATCTTAGATACCAACTCAGTGACTCATGTTCCTGACAATGTATTTACCACGGTTGGGAGAGAAGGTAAATTTACATGCACCAGTAGCACACACAGGCATGCCATGAACTAATCTTGTATTTTAAAATGGTCTTTGGCATTAGGTAACTCTGCAGTTATTAACAAATGTGTATGTCAACTGAAGCTGGCTCATTATCCATCAGTGGAATTTATAAACACTGCCTGGCCACCACTCTGACAAAATGAAAACCGGCCCACAGAAGAAAATATCCCTTCAGTTTTGAGATCAAAAATGGAAGCTGGAGTGTTTTAAAGCCTGCTATTACTGTACTGAAGTGAGTGCAAATTAAGGAAAATTACAGCTAGCTTCAAGTACTCCCTGAGAGGGAAAGCATCCACCATGTGTTAAGGTTGCTTAAAACACAGTAACAAAGTTATCAATTCACAGAAAAAATTACTTCATTACACCTTTGTTGTAATCTTGGCCTTATAAAAACCTCAGTGTTTCAGATGGCACATCTGGTCCTAGCAGCCTTAGGAACTGTACCACTGCCCAGTAAGCAATACAAATATTCACTAGGAAGCTCTGCAGCAAAATAAACAAAGCAGTTTTACCAAAAATGTAAGGGCATCTAAATCCTTTCTAAAACGGAAAAATCTCTGAACCAAAATAATGTATTCTGCTGGCAATGAACTAATTTCACTCTTCAATTCCCAATTTTCCCAGGATTCCTGAACACTGGTTATGAAAGCAAAGGAAAACATCAGACCCTGATGGCTGAGGAGCTCTCTTTATTATGCCACTCTTCACTGGTCAGTCCTTTGGCAAAATACTTCTGAAGAAATGTTTCTATTTCTGCCTAGGAAAACCCTGAAGCTCCAAGCCACATATAATTTAACTTTGAAATTAGTCCTCCTCTGAGCAGAGGGTTAGACTAGACCTCCACAGGGTCCCTTTAATTTTCATGCAAGCAGATATTTTTCTCCAGCTTAGAATAATTTAAAAAACATTTTCCTGCACTTAACAGGGGAGTCAGTTACACACTGCTAAATCCAGGCACACCTAAGAGTAGGGATGGGAGAGCAGAACTCAAAGACAACTATTATCAAGCCACACTTTAAAGAAAACCCCCACCCAACAGACAGACATTCCACAAGCCACAGACTTGGCACAGCCTTTCTCCTGATCCATCACAAACCCCATGTTCCTTCCCACGCAGTAACATTTATTCCCATTTCTTGCATTCCCTGTAGTCTTACTGCTCCCCACAGGATTCAAGCCTGCCCACACTGCTTTTACCCTTTAGTGAGATTGGAAATGTCACTTGGAGACATGTTAAAAGTAATATATACTTCAACCTTTTCTTCCCAACTATTTACTACTCTCTACATGATGGTAGTAACTCTTGCTCTTAAGAGTCTGAAAGCTGCAAGACAGTTACTACAGAAGAGAAGTTCTAGCTTAGAGTTAATTGAACTTTATTATCACCATGTAGTTACAGGAGTAATGAGACTGAAGAAGCATTTGTGAAATGTTTTAACAAAATTACATGTTCTTCTTAAGCTTAATGACACAGCAGCAATAGTCCTTCCACGGGCAATCTGTCTAGCAGCATGAGTAAACTCATTCCAGTGCTCCATCCTTGTTTCAGGGAAAAACAAAACAAACCCAGACCCAAACTTCAAAGAGAACATTGCATTAAATGGAAACAAGTTGGGCACACTGATCAAAAAAGCCATAAGAATGCCATCTGATAGGATGGCCTTCACATACCAAAAATTTCAAGAGACTTTCAGAGCTCTTAATATAGGGCAGCACTTTATTCTGAGGAGACGCCACTCTACAATGCTTCTCTCTAAAGTATTTCAGCATTATAAATTTCAGATAATGCAGCTCTCTAAAAGAACAGAGAGCAAAAAAAAAAAATACTAAAAACCACTAATGTAGGACAGAAAAAAATATTGAAAGAAAAAAGGCTTTTTAAAAGTCTGTCAAAAGAAGTGACATAAAAGACTTTTATCATGACAGCAAACTTGCACATAAACACATCAAACAGACAGATTTGTAATGAGGTTCTTGCTATTTGTTCTTAAACAAGGTAACTTTCAGATAAAGTGATTCCTGCTCAGAATTATGAAGACACAGAAGAAAATAGACAGACAAGTATGAGGCCAATTTTGATGGCAACTCTTTGTTCAACATATATAGCTTGATTATCAAATGAATTATTCCTAAATTGGCAATTGGGTTCTGCTCACCTCTAAATGCTGAACAGCAAAATAGAAAAAGCTTCAGTGCTAATTAGACCCAACATGTTTAAGCATTCTCCCAGTCAGCACAAAAAACTATTAGGTACATTTACACCACCAGTCTGGACCACCTCCCATTTATCCAAGGCTCCTGTTCCCTGGATCTGTCCTGCATGTGAATCATTCCCAGCATCCCTTCAGGAAGGGAACAGCTAATCTCCTGGGAGTGTTTTGATGGTAAAATAATCCAGGATTGCAGCACAGGCAGTGTGCTTGGGACAGCCCAAGGTCTTGCTGTTTTCCCTTAGCCCAGTGTGACAGCACTGTCCTACAAGCCTCTGCCATGTCACACACCCATAACCCCCACACTCATCCCACATTGCCACAAAACTAAAGTGGGAAGATGGCAACCACAGAGTCCGTAGAAACTGGGCACTTCATCAATACATAATGATTATTAAAAGGAAGGGGAAAAAAACTCTGTATGTTCAAAATGCTACAGGTCTGAAAAAATATCCCACAGGGAGAGAAATTGAATGGAACAGGTAAACTTGGAGGAAGCACCAACTGACCAAGGGAACACAGATATAACCAGCAATGCTCCAGCTGAAAATTACACTGCTAAAAGCTCCATCAATTTATACACTAAAAGCAGAAAATTAAGGCTTTTTGCTAAATAGTACACTGCAAAGGCAAACAAGATTTGCAATAGAATGTTCTGATCTAGCACATCCACGCTCAGGACAAAAGCCCTGTCATTCATGATGACTCAGTTCTCTGCTTCTCAAACTTCCTTCCTCGCTTGCTGCTTTTTTCAGTGTCAAAAACTGAACACACAACAGTCACTGGAAAATTAATTAGCCTGGCTGAAAATGACAACAGTGAAATCTCCCAAGGCTTCCCCTCTGATCTTCAACTCTTCCCTGGCATGCCAATTCCAACTGCATTGTTTGAATGGGTGGAGAGCAGGAACAAGGGATCCAACAACAAAGTTTTTACATCTTTACAGAGTGGCATTGAAAACTGTGCACATACAAATGCTGCCCTCGTGCAGGAGAGCAATTCTAAGTCCTTGACATTTATTTTCTCCTCATAAAGAGTTATCACTTCCTTGAACTGAACAGCTGCTCACTCTTAATACCATACCTTCTCTGGATTTCCATTTCTTCTTGTGATGGACCATTCTGTACTTGAGAGGGAAGCTGTGAATTCTGTCGAGGCAATGTAGGACCTAAGAGCAAAGACAGATCATAAATCAATGGTTTGAATTTTTACCATGCAAAAAAAAAAAAGCACAAAATCAAAGAAAAAGGCCAGCCATCACACAACATTAAGAACTGCTCACTTTTGCTTTTTAAGCCAAACAAGCTCAACAGCATAATGCAGCAAATAAAAACTGCAACCTCACACATGTACAATGTTACCTCACACATCTGCAGAATGATTTTATTTCACATGGATGGAAAGGTCTCACAAAAATGCATACCAAACTTTCTGCATGATGGAATTTGACAAAAGCTTTGAAAAGCACTCCAAGTCTGATTGTTTTTCTTAAAACAATGAACAAATACTCTTGGAGGAGCAGGAAAGGCTCAAAAAATGAAACCACTCACCTAAATAGAACACTGGAAAAGGGGGAGAAAACAGAAAAAGGAAAAAAACAAAAGAACAGGAGAAAAACCATCAGAACCATATCACCACACTGAGAGAAGGAAGATAAAGCATGTTTCTACAGGTCATACCAAAATTTATTCAGATTTCAGGTCATCAATTTGGATCAAAGACCTTTTTTGCATAGGTAAATATTGTGTCCAAAGGAATGGGGGCATATAACAAATGTACAAACTGGGAATTCTGCTAAGCACAAGAGATGCAAAAGGGAAGGTCATGCAAAATCATCTTCAGCCTTTACTGATGGGAAATTCTGAGCCATACAACTTTCAAGTAATTGTCTATGTGAGATCTGTATTCTAGAAACACAAAAAGCTTTACCATTTTAATCACAAATGTATTTACATTTGTGATAAAAAGAAGTGTGTAAAAAGAAGTGAAGGACAAAGTGTGGAATGGAATACAGGAGACCATGGATGCACTGCTGTTATCAGGCACTAATCCAGGAAATTATTTAGACTACAGCTATGCTCAAGATTATGGAATTTATACGAAACAAGAATTAAAATCAATTAAAACATCAAGTTTTGAAAATGTCCAGGAGCAAAGCACTGATTTCCCATTGATATTCCACCAAACCAGTTAGAGTTATGGAGTTGTAATGAGATCTTCCCCATCTCAAATACCAAAATGCAGAATTTTTTGCTGTCTGAATTGGTGAAAGTCGCCCAAACCCATAAAAAGACCATGTGTGATACACATCAAGGACAGGCATTTTGCTTGAGACACAGCAAACAAGTGCCTTGTTTAAAAGCCCTGCAAAAAGGTTAATTTCCTCAGAATGCCACAGTATTGTGTCCACTGTGATCTTTAATCATGAAAATTATAAAAGTGTACACTATCAATGTACCCTACAAATACAAAAAGTAATGGGACTTCATTGTGGAGGATGAAAGCAGGCAGTGTACTACAGGGGTGGTGTCTTCCTTAGTTATTCTTTCAGCAAGCATCAAGCCCTTATTCCCAATGTCTTGATGGGGATGCACTAATTTTGCTTGAAGTATCTCCAAGAGACACCTCCAGGTATAAAACCTATATTTTAATGCAATATTAAAAAACTATATATTTATTGTGCAATATTAAAAAGCTATATATTTTTAACCTGTATTTTAAATGCAAAAAAAAATTAATTATTAATTTATCATTGCAGTTAAATGATCATTAAACAGAAACATCTGCCCCATGGCTCATCTGGAAAACTTTTTATGCTGTAAAACTTCCATAAGACACGCATCCTCCTCTTCTCCTCTGCCCTGTGAGAGAGGTGGAAAGCTGTAATGCCCATGACAGCAGCTCCCAGGCAGCTGGGCTATTTGCTGCCTGCAGCCTTTCATGGCCTTTCACAAGCAGACAAATCCAGCAGCAGTGAAAGGTGCTGTAAACACCAAACACCAGCTCTGCTGCTTGCCATGCCCAGCAGAACACTTGGGTAAGTCAAGGCTCACAGCCTGAGCTGCAAAATGCAAGCAGCATTTCAGTATCAGATATAGGATGAAATTCCTGTCTTATTCCTCAAAATGGAACATGCTGACCTGAAAGTTAATAACGAAAAACAAAAATGAAAAGAAATGGTCACAATGCATCCGTAGACCAACCAGAACTATTTTGTGCTAAAAATGCAGTAGAAATGAAAAGTTCAGTTCAGCCAATTTAATCTTCAAGAGTATTTAAAAGGTTTTTTTGAAGAAGGTTTTATCATGCTGCAGTAGCTGGGTGCAGACCACCACTCTCCAACCTTTTAAATCCTTCTTCAGCCAACACCTCCAGAAAGTAAACACCAAACTTCATCTGCTCTGGCCATTCCAACACACCCAGCTGTGAGAAAACCTGTTCTTGTAGCCTCAAACTTTGTTCCAGAGCACTGGCCTTCAGAAAACCACCAATTTATCCATCAGTTCTGCACAAGGCAAACATGAGCAAGCCAAGGCAGCTTTAGCTTGGCCAGCCTACTCCCGTGATTGCTTCTTTCACAGCTTTGCACACAGAAGAGGAAAAAAATCCCCTGCTGGCAATTAACCTGGTGGTTCCAATACTTCTTACACATTTTTGCCTCAAGGAAATGCAATTTGAGTATAACAAAGGCTTTCAAGAAAAGGAAAGTTCAGCTCCCAAGTCATCTGTCCTGTTTTCTCATGAAATTTCCCTCTGCAGCCACCCTGCTAATGAACATTATAAAATTAAAGGTACATGCCAGGTGGAGAAGTATGTTTTATCCTAGAAGGTTTACTACAGCAAGCCAAGACTCTCACTTCATTGCTAAAATACAGCTGCCTGGGTAGCAGGACAGGTGGTATATTAAATAAATAGAAACTAGGTAGTGAAAACCTCTCTCAGAGGCTTCTGAACACTTTAAGATACCAAAGAAACATCAACCCCCATGAAAAACACTCAGATACTGCCTGGAAAAGAACTCTGATCCTTTTACAGGATCACTTTATCTTCAGAAGCCAATATAAGCCAAGAGAGAGATGAGGCTGAATGGTCTATTCATTCTGAGTTTTAAAGAAAACCTAACATCTCTCTTTTTCTAAAAAAGCACAGATGGTGCACTCTGCAGCACATTCTGACAGACAGAGGATATAATTTTATACTAATTTGTTCAGCAGCCATTCCAGTTTCAATGCTTTCTGTTTTTCAGCTTATTTTCACCTTTGCATCACCCGTCCTCTATGACAGTGCAGGCAACTGTGTGGTGAGAAATGGACTGGCAATCTAACACATTAAAAACCTCAGGGGAAAAAAGCCTGCATTAAACATTTCCACCAGCCAGATGACAGCCAGAGCTGGTGCTTCATGCAGTCACACAGACAATTATGGTGGCATCAACATCAGAACATCAACATCAGACCGCTGGGCAGTGCCTGAACCAAACCAAGCATCCCCAACATCACCCTTCCAAACCACAACCAGAGTTGGAGTTTATCAAACTCCAAGATTTTTTTAGCCCTAATTGACTGGTTACTTTGTATCTCTGTTCAAAAGCCAAACAATTTCAGTTGCAGAACCCTATGGAAGCATAGGAAGGAAACACAGGGTTTGTCCTCCCTCAATGCCTTTTGTTCCTCTGTTTTTGTTCCTTTTTTGTGTTCACAGGGGTCTCAGGTTGAGGGAAGAGATGAGGATTTGACTCCATGTTTCAGAAGGCTGATTTATTATTTTATTATATATATTACATAAAAACTATAGTAAAAGAATAGAAGAAAGGATTTCATCAGAAGGCTGGCTAAGAATAGAATAGGAAAGAATGATAACAAAGGTTTGTGGCTCAGCTCTCTGTCCAAACCAGCTCACTGTGATTGGCCATTAATTCCAAACAACCAACATGAGACCAATCACAGATGCACCTGTTGCATTCCACAGCAGCAGATAATCAATGTTTACATTTTGTTCCTGAGGCCTGTCAGCTTCTCAGGAGGAAAAATCCTAAGGAAAGGATTTTTCATAAAAGATGTCTGCGACACTCCTTCAGTCACCTCCTCTCTTTTGGAGTGTCACACCCCACCCTACCCCACTTCTTTTCCTGTCAGCTGCATTGGATGTTATCAGCACTGACACTAGCTGATAGTGAAAATATCACATTCCTGGAGCCCTAAAAAACCCCGAAGCATCAGCTGCTCAAGATTGGCACAACGCATGTGCTGCAGGTTCTGCACTGGGTGTTTTCCTTGGGCTGGACAGGCTCACTTGGGAGCTTGTAACACAAGGATGGTGAAAAGGGGTTTGGGGGAACCAGGGGCAGCCAGATCATGTGAAATCTTCCTCAGAACCTCATGTTCCCTAAATCAAGAAGGCAAAACCACACAGAAAACCTCCCACCTGCAATTACTGTGCTTCAGAGCACAGCTTATTCTCACCCTAATTTTTGAATAAATCTGCTAAGGCTGGTCAACTATCACACATAAGAATTTTAGTTTGAGGTAAAGATCTCCATTTTCTCCCCAGAGAAAAAGTTTATATAAACAACTTAGTAACTAAGAAATCCCACTCCTTCACTTCTCAGTATGTTAGTGCCAAAACTAAGCAGTGTTCCAATTATACAGTCTGATATCCAAATCAAAGTGTGAATTGTCTTTTAGAAGTCTTTTAGAAGTTCAAGACTGAAAGTGGACAGCAAATTTATTTATACATTTATATGATATAAACATAAGTGACCTGGCTAATTATAATCTTTAGAAAATATTTTCTTTAAGGACAGTTTGAATACTCCTACTAAAGAAAACCCACACCCCAGGCAAGAGTTCAAAGCTACAGCCAAAAAGATGTGTTTTTGTTAGGAAATATAAGAACTTACAAAAAAAAAAAAGTGTGCTTAAATGGTTAAAGGCTTTCTGAATGAATGGAAATGAGGCTTTTCAGAGATCTGTGCAGGAAGCAATAAGAACAACAACTGTGGTATCCCTCTTTGATGTGTCTCCAGCTCCATTCAGAGCCTGCCCTGCTCCAGGCCATGCCAGAACAAAGGCTGGGTTGATTTCTAACCAGCCTTGAGCAAAATCAAAACCACCTCACTGCTCAGGCCACAGGAATTTATTTAAACTAACAGAGACAAGTAGTCATCTTCAAGTACAGATTTTTGATGCAGTATCATCAAAATACCAATGAGGACAGCATGGGTTAGAAATTTTTAAAACCCAAGCAGATACATTGAAAGAAACAAAACTAACCATATATAATGTACTGATCATCATATCAGTGTAAAAGTTTTATTTTATGACACATACCCTCCTAAGAGGTGTTATGGGTTTATATGCAAGACCATGATGGCCAAAAACCAGGGCATTAACTGGGCATTAATTTTCTCTAGTACTTCTGTTAGGATGAATCAACCCCTAGCCAAGGTTTCCCCTCCCTTCAAACCCCTTCCTCCTCACTCACTTCAGCTGAGTTAATTCACTCATCACTCCAAATTTGAAGCTAAACACTTTCCACTTCAATCCACAAGCTCTTTTAACTC